TGTCCTTTTTGTTTGGTCTCTTGTAATGAAACTATTTGAAAGTTGTGTTTTTATAATTCATTGGCCAAGTGTTTTAATTGACCAGCTTGGTACAAGCCTCTTATATTCCATGTTCCTAGTTTCAAATCTGTTTTGCTATTGTTTGTTTTTGATTTTCCATTTCGTAGTCCCTTCGATAGCCTTGTCATCATCATTATCTCGCTGAGAGCATCCAAGTTTTCTAGTTTTTTGTCTGCTATTTTTCATTTTTTCCAGCTGATCTGTTTTGATGTTCCATTTCCATACTTCTCCATCTATAATCAGCTTTTGGTACGCCATTTTGAGTTGCTTTCCTTTAACTCTTGCATCTCTGGCAATAATTCCAATCTTGGTCTGTATTTGCCTTTCCATTTTCGTTAGATCATCGTTTATATATACCCTCTCGCCTAGTTTATTGAGTTTGCTCTTATGTTTCATGACTTCATTCTTATCAGAATAGCTGTCAAACTCTACTAGACAAACCTTTTCTCCTAGTTTCCTTGCTGAGTTGACTTTCACATCTCCAATTTCTTTCTGGATAAAGTTGTGCATAGTTTCTCTCAATGTGCTTGATCTGTCATTTATTGGCAGGCCTTGAACTACAATATTCTTTTTCCTTTTTTCATTTTCTATTCTTTGCAGCTTCTCGTTAGTGTCGGCTACCTGCTTTTTAAGGTGGTCAATTTCGTTTAGGGCATTTTCATTTGCCTCTTTTAGGATCCTTACTTCCGTCCTATACTCCTCTTGTTCTTTTTTGAACTCCTGGATTTCACTTTTCAATGATTGTATGTGTTCAGTTTGTTGGGCCTGTTGGTTTTTAATATCTTTCATATCTTCTGCCAGTGTTGTCAGCAGAAATATGCCTAATATGTGGCTATAATTACTGTAGTTGGAGAAGTATTAACATACCAAAGTAAAAAAATTGAGATGAAATGCGTTCTAATGATGCTATCGATAAAGATGCGTCTTTCCAAAAAATTAAGTACCACACACCGAGTGGATGGCCAAAACAAGATTAGCATACCAGCAGAACTAAAAATACTGGCTCATAAGAAATGACATTTCTGCCTATGAAAATGGGTTACTTATCAAAAGCTTGATAGATGGAAAAGATCCCTGCTTGTCAATACTTCATTACTACACCACTAAATCCAACTTAGCTGCAACCTTAGATCTATTTATGGGAAGGAAGCTGCAGGCATTGTGTCATCTATCCAAACAACGGCTTCAGCTAAATTTTCCAACCCATAATGTTAAAGGCATACTTACTATAGGCAGGCGAAGCATCACAGAAATTGTGACAGGTCAGCCAAAAGAATGCCTGTTATTGAGCGTGGTGAAAGAGAGTGGAAACACAGTGTAATTAGTCAGTCTGGACCAAATGACTCTATAATCAGAACACCAGGCAATGTAGAATATAGGAGGAATAGATCATTTTTATGACAGATAGAAGGAGAAAGACAAACAGTTCTGAGATCTCCAGAATGCAACATTGAAGATGAAAAAGAACTTGTAAACATTATAGAGTCTTCATTTTATTGTTACTTTGACAGGGTGCATTATATATGAAGAGAACACCCAGTACATTAGGCAGGAACCTGGCGACAGGGGATGTCTCCGAGTTAACTGTTATGAAGTCTCTTCTATTGTAGTTGTTAAAAACCAATGGAAATGTGTAAACATCGCCTTGAATACTTATTTTAAAATACAACAAAAGTCATAAACACGAAAAGTAAAATATATAAGGAAAATTATGAACAAAAAGTAAACAAAGTTATGCACCTATTTCCATATCAAGATTTTAAATATATTTCACAAAGAGTAGATTTCCTTGGATTCTGACATATAGATAGAAAGGCACTTTGCTACATACACCTTGTATATGACCACTGACTAATCTCAAATTCTGAGACTTCAATTATGATGCATCTTGATCCGATAACCTTTTTTTATTTATCAGATGGGGGCTTTTAGATTATCACCATTGATTAATCTATTATTATGTTATCAATGATTATCATTGACTTCAACAGATAACTTGAATTTTGCTATTAGCTGCAATAGAAACATGCACAGTCAATTGTATGACATACATGATGATGATCTTTATTTCATAGCAATGTGCTAACAGAGAAAACATTTGGATATAAACATATAAACTACAATTTTCTATTACATATTTTTTTAAATGCCTTTTGAAGTTAACAAAATTTGTAGTTTTAATTTCTTCTGGAATCCTATTAAAATCTACAAGGCCCTTATAAAATAAGCTGTTTTGGGCAAAGGAAGATTGTACCCGAGACACATAAAAGTTGGAATTAGATCTAACATTATGAGTATGTATATCGCTGACCATTTTTAATTTATTAATAATATGCTCTGGGTACATTCTATTCCTTATTTTGTATACTACCACCATAGTGTTATAAAAGATCTCCTGGCTTACACTCAATATATTTGTAGATGTCAGCATGTCTTTAATTCTACCGTATCTTCCCCATCCCAAAATACTTCTCAATGCCTGGTTTTGATTTTTTTGAATAATATCAGTATCACCTTTCTTAAACATATACAAGATTGTTGCACAGTAACTGAAATGTGGTAGGATTATCGTCTTATATATAATTAATTTAGCCCAGACACTCAGGTCTTTCCCCATTCTACATAATAAATTCACTTTCTTTGATAGCTTTTTGGTTATATAAATTGCATGTTTTGAAAACGTTAAATTTTCATCTATAATTATTCCTAAATATTTACATTCATCAACTTGATCTACCTTTGCTATTGTATATGTTACATTATGCTTAGATTTCAATATCATACATTTAGTTTTATTTACATTCACACTTAAACTATTATTGTTTAACCATTTATATATATTATTTAAATCTTCATTTAAAAAGTTTATTATATCATCCACTGAATCACCCTTAACAAAAAGCATAGTGTCATCTGCAAAGAGTTGAATTTCACACTTCTTAATTATATTAACAATGTCATTTATGTACAAAAAGAAACAATTCTGGGCCCAGCACAGTACCCTGTGGAACACCATGTACATTGATCTTAGATTCAGATAAAGATTCTAAATATTTGGTTTTTTGAGATCTCATTTCCAAGTATTGTGAAAACCAACCTAGGACTTTACCTTGAAAGCCATACCTTTGTAACTTCCCAATTTGTAATTCTCTGTTAACAGTTTCAAATGCTCTGCGAAAGTCCAAGAAAACCACGCCCACCATTTTTTTGTTGTCTAATGAAGATTTTCAGTTAGTTATCACTGACTGTAGAGCACTTTCACATGAGTGACCACTTTGGAAACCTGCTTGACAGTTTGTAATAATATTGCTTGCACTCACATAATCTCGAACCTGGATATTAACTGCTGTTTCTAGAAGTTTTTCATATGCTGGTACCATATTAAATGGTCTATGTTCTAAACACTGAATAGTTGCACTAACTTTTTCTATGGGAATAATAGTAGACATTTTCCATTCACTTGGAAATGACCCAGTTTGTAAGCTTTGGTTTATTACATCCAAGAAACGATTGCCAATGGCTTCAAATGAGAGCTTCAATATCTTTGTGTTTATTCCATCAGTGCTACTTTTTTTGTTTTTCAGATCATTCACAATTTTTCTAAGTTCTGATATCTGTAATATCTTGAACTCTGTGAATTTTTTAGATGGTGTTACTATACTGTCAAGCATTCTGTCACATTCTGTTGGATCAGGTATAGTACTTAGCTCATTTATGCTCTCTATATAGAAGTGATTGAAACTATTGGCGATTTTGAGACTGTCTGTTATCAGTTTGCCATCAAACATGATATACCATCTATTGCCTTAAACTTGCTCCTAGAACCAATTATACTCTTCAAGGTTTTCCACATTTCTCTAGAGTCTCCTCCCGATTCATCAATTTTTTCTTGGTAAAAGTATCTCTTTTGTTCTCTTATTTTTTTTAACTGCTAAATTTCTTTGCTATTTGTATAATTCCCAGTCATCCTCTGATTGTGTAATTATTGCTCTTTTGTACCTCCTATCTCTTTCTGTTATGATATTGTCCAGTTCAACTGTCCACCACATTTTATTTCTCCATTTACAATTTATTTCTTTCACCACTATAGGAGCATGTGAATCAACTATTTCAGTAAGGGTTTTCACCAAGAAATTTGCCTTGTCATATTTTTATTTACTTGTTTATGAGAAAAAATTGGCATAATAATTATCTTCCTTGTACTAAGCTTTATAAACATGCTGTTGGTAAGACCATGTAAGATGTCCACTCTATAATCGTACAAGTTACAATATAAAAGAAGCTAAGCTTTGGAGATAATTAAAAAAAAATTGAAAGAATGGATTTTTTCCCCTAGCAAGGCTAGAAATACACAAATTAATAGTAGATATTAATATTAAATGATTCATTGATTAGTTGTATCATTATTTGTGTTTTAATTGCAACATTAATGGTCCATATACTTGCACTGCCTCCTATGACTTTATAGGGGCATCTGTAATGCTAAGGTTTGTCACTAACTTTGTAGTGTTATCCCTGGGATATACGCTGAACTTTTTATAGAACCTATAGGAACTGTTATAGAACCTTTTAAAAATATAGAATACGTAGTGCCATCTTTGGACTTCCCTCTTTCACTGTGGAGCTAAATTAAATATTCAAATTATATACATGGCATTTAAGTAAAATGACGCTCTACCTGATTTTATTTTTAAAATGAGTATTTTTTTAATACAATACATAAAAATAACAGTTATGCACGTTGTTTGTAATCTAAAAATAATCGGTATTACCGATGTACAACGTAAATTTACAATTAGCAATTTCTCTACCCCTTTCATGAGTTTCGGAACTACTCACTACACTATTTTCAGCTATGTTAGAATAATGTAATCATAATTATTCACTGATTTCACAGTGCATGCACCTGGTTTATATATGTAATCAAAGTTATTACTTACTTGAAAATTGAAGTTCAGGAAGATGTAAAGTAGGAAAAGCTGTTCTTTTCAGACCTCTCTTGGTTCCCGGCACTTTATCACTTTCCGAAAAATGTAAGTCACACACCAAATGTCTTTTATAAATTTGTTCGAGACTTTTATTGTCCAAAACTGGATTTCGCACTTGCTCGATCCATTTGTTAAAAAGAGGGGCATCATGTTTTGGAAATGTATGCCTTTTACTGTTTCTATCAGTACAACCAGGCACCACGCACTTTTTAAATCCGCGCTTTCGATAAGCCTCCATTACAAAGATTAAGTTTGTAAATTTAAATTCAGTTTAACGCTCAATAGATATCAGTATCATCGACAAAAAACTAATAAACACGCCAGCGCCCCACAAAATTAAACTTTCAACCGAAAATTATACATCAACCTCAAATACATTGGACTGTCAAAAAAAAGGAGGGAAAAATCCAGCATCAGCGCCACTCTGTGGTTGTACTAACGAGATTTTTTCGCGAGATCCCGTAGTGAACCGAGGCGGGAACAGATGGAATTTCCCCTTCCTCTCGAAGTTTTGACAGTTTCAAGTTACACCGTCGAGTGGTTAGATGGCGCATGTTGCGCAAAATGTTTGCTTTAAGCCACTTGATAAACTTAGCTGCCTTGTTTGAATCTCAAATAAAAAGACCGATCATTTTTTGTATGTACATATATATCAATAAAATCAATCATTTGATATAAGTGCGGTTCATATATGTTCGATGACCTTCACCCTCGTCATTTAAAATCAGGTGGACGTGTTCCTCCATTTATGATTTAATAATATAATTCAATTTTCGACACTGCGAAGACAAATTTTCAATTGAGATGCCTGTTTTTTAAATCAGATTGACATAAGACCTGTCACCAGCTAGTACCTCACAGACGTTAGGCGGGTACCCGTACCAGGTGATTTTTTGACATTCGGACAACGTCACATCCGTCTTCCCCTATTCCCGTTCTTCGCGAAAATTTGAGTATCGGTTCCCGGTAGTGCACTGTGCTACACCGAGGACTCGCGAAAAAATCCTTCAAATATATCAGATTATTTGGTTGCCTACTAAACATACCTTCAAAGTCACTCATTTAACTTTCTTTTATAAGGCTCCTATGGAGCCTTCTTTTATATCATTTTACTAATTTTCATATTGTGTTTAAGGATTAAGTAAATATTATTATTGACACTAATATCAGAATCTTAAATCGCGCAGGCCGCGAACTGGATAAATTAGTGTTAAAGATACTTACCGCATGGAAATGGGACTGCACCTCGAATTAACAGTTTTCTGGTAGTTGATTTCAAGATTACATTAGAGGAAAAATGTTTTTCACAAACAGTCCAACGCCAGCCACCTCTGAGGGGTTCTTCGGTTCCCACATAACTCAATAATTGAACATTGCCACAATTTGTTAACCATATATCTCGAATGTCACGTGTTTTAGGAAATGAGAAAAATGTTATATTTGGATTATTGCGAACTCTATTTGAGCACTTGTAGTAAACACATTTTCTATCAGCCATTTTTTACACAAAATTTTTTTTGATCACTCACAAGATCAAAAACAAAACATACACTGACAGTACCCACTATCACAAAACACAAAACAGTTATGTTATGGTTATATACCACACAACACATACACAACGGAAAATATATACTGAAGAAGATAGAATTCCCTGTTATTCAAGAGTAACACGATTTTGACTTATGTCATTGTCATTCAGCCATTTTTTGAGCGTGACATGTCTGCCAAATGTCACGCAACATTGCCAGCTCTACAGATAAATCTGAGATTGCTATACTTTTATACTAGCTGTTTCAAATTCGATTGTAAGAGATACAAAGTCGCTTAAATGGGGGCAAAGTTGCGTCTTTACGTAATTGAAAAAACGACACTTGGAAAGTTTCGAAATTCAAAGTACTTCCGGATAGAGACGGTAAAACCGAAGTTTCCAAAACCGTACCAATTTTTTCTTGACTCTATTTGTAGTGGGATTTGAGAACAAAGTGCACATTAACATTTTATCTACAAGATAGCATAATCAGGTTTGTAATATAACGTTTCGTCTCTTGCCCTCCAGCAGCAACTCTATTTTTCATTATCGGGCCATATTGGACTTTTGCATAGATGAACAGAGTTTTTTATTTTGATACCAAGTATGTAAGGTACGTCATACATTGACATTGCCAAACCTTAGTCGTTTCAAAAAAGCAAAATTTCCTAGATAGGGTATGAAATTATCATATATCATATTTGTTAATCCCATCATATCTTTTCCTGAATTTATTTAAGATGGGATTTCAAAATTAATTGCATGTTGTCATTGTAACTTATTCTTCTTTACAAGATGTCGTAGTCAAATTTTCTATTCGAGGTTTCTTCTTTGGTTCTCCATCACACAACCTTGTTTCTTCAAATGGACGTCAGATTGAAATTTTGCACATTTAAGGGCCGTAACATCAGTCGTTACTACAATTCTAGGACGCCTTTATGGCCTCCTTGATTTTCACAGTCATCCATGTCCTTTAGAAAGGGAGGGGTATTACTAGATTTCTACTATTTCGTGTAAGCGGTCTATTTTGAGGTTATACTTTTTATTCCGAACTTTAAGAAGTTTCATGCCGGTAAAACTTGATTCTTATCATCTGTTTTATCAGTCCGAAATTTATTTAGATTCGAAAAGGAAACATAACTACACAATAGGAGTGCGCTGACGCGGAGTCGGAACAGTAAAAATGTAAGAATACCTTAGCCTTTCTGAAGGAGAGAAAAGACTACAAAAACCAAAGAGGCCCTAAAGGAGATCTACAATTGTAGGAACGCCTGACGATACGGCCCTAAATGGACTACTCAGTCCTAAATTCAGTTATGATTCGAACACAAAATGAAAATTTTATGGTTGGTAATAAGAGCAATAATCATAAATATTGGTAACCAGAGGTTAGCGGATGTTTAAAAAGTTGTCTGTTATTTTGCAGGCAAAACCTGACCCTTCCCGGTACATTGCTTACCGCTCGATTTATTTCCTTTCTTCTCAGTCTTACAAACTCAATTTGAGGTCTGGCCTGGTATACGAAACAAGGCCTACCTAGGAACTTCCGTTCTTATGGAATAATTTAGGTTTGACAATGTCAGTGTTAGACATATTATTCATTTTTGAAATCAGAATGAAAAACTTTTTTTATCTGCGCAAAGTCCAATATGGCGTCCATAAGGAAAAATAAAGTTGTTGATGCTGGAGGAGCAGAGAAGAAACGTCATGTTGAAAATCCAATGATGTCATCTTGTACAGGAGAAAAAGTGGCAATTTTAATGTGCAATTTATTTTAAAATCCCATTACAGATGAAGTCAGGAAGAAGATTAAAAGGATTTCAGGAAAGTTCGGTCCTTTCTGTCTTTCTCCGGAAGTACTGTAAATTTCTAAACTCTCTAAGTTTCTAGTTATCTAAATACGCAAATTTGCACCTTTTTGAACGATATCGTATTTCTTACGATTTATGGTATCCCAATGGCGGAGGTCTATTTGAAACACTCGGCATATAGAAACTTGGTGGGATATGGTAGATGGCATGTGTTATCAACATTTTGCGCTTTCTTAACGAATAAGTGTTTTTTGTATGTTAAAGTAGCAATGTCAATAACACGGGCTGTTATAAGAGCTGCTTTGGAGCCAACAACGAAATTGGGCTTAAAATGAATGGGCTTAAACACGCAGGCTTCACACTCGAAATAACGGCTGGAACGTAACAAAAGGTCGTTCCGACATTTCTCATTACTCAGTTGATGTCGCAGCTGAGGGCCATAGGGTTTGAATATTGGTTTTTGATTCGTTCTTAACGAAATTTCATTTGCTATTTATTAGAATTTATAGGTAAAACTATTTTTGTATTTATTAATCCTTTTCAATAATCAGTGTTACCTAAATTACAAAGTAGATGGAAAAGCAAGATATTAGACGAACAGGTATTTACATATTTATAACAAACTTACAATTTTGACTGTTCATGGGCTCAAAGTTCCAACCAAAAGGCTAGTGATTGACGAGCAAGGGGGAAGCAAGGTGTGCAAGGGCTTATTGCATATAGGCGCCCAGGTGCTTGGTTGCATGAAAAGAAAAGAATATATATTTATTATATAAACCTCAAACATTTTTCCATTAACAAACAAGTATTAAAAGCAATAATGGTCCAGATGTTTTCATTCCCTAGCCTTTGTTGACACCTGCGTAAATCAAAAATTGGCAAGAAATGAATTGTGTAGTCTCTGTTACTACATTAAACAGATCTTCATTAGAGCAATAATATTGCCCATTATCACCAGCAAGAATTTCTTTTAGCGGTACCGCACAGGTATCGTGTAAAAAACCTATAAAACGTGAAAAAAACCTATAAAATGTCATCTTGCAGATTAGGTTTTTACGGTGCAAACATTCCATTCACTCCAAGTTTGCTCGGTAGGATCGTTGTGAGCGTCCACCTATGGAGGACTACACGCATACACGCACTGTTGGTTGCATATGTTTTGTGAAGCCGAGCAGTCTATAGTTTTCAGCTCTAAGAAGAAAGTGGGTTGAATAGCAAGATCGCATCTGGATGATTGTGTATAACATCAGTGTCATTTGCCGTGTGAGAAAATCATCAGTGAATATGCTGCCAATCAAGTAAATCTATTAGCTGTGATCGACAGGCTATTTATATGTTGTCCTTTCTGAAGACAGGTTATGTTTAAAGTTATCAATTACGACTTTTATCATTCTTTTTTGTTATCAAAAACCTTGAGGGGCATTACGGGAAATCACCACCGCGCCCGCATTGTGTATAATTACTGTTAGCATATATATGACTTGTAATTCGACAGTGTACAGTGAATATGAAACTAATTTCTAGCTTTGAATCTCAAGTAAGAATATGTGAGACAAGAATCCAATAGAATTATCATCAACACATATTATTAGCACACAAATCCTCACTATGCACCTATGCATTGCTGTTACCTCCAGTAATACCAACTCTGGAGCAGATTTCACATCACATCAGAGCCAAACATTGATAGCTGAAACCTCGTAACGTTTAGGTAACACGTACAACTACAAAACGAGTTCACATTGTGACCATCAGCTAGTGCTAAGTTAACATCTTGTAGAAAAACTTACATAATGTCACATAAACCAATATAATGTAAAAAAAATCGACAGAATTTCACTATTCAAGATACGTAATACCCGTGTCTGCCTCGTTGAGGACACTGGGACAGACAGCCTGGAAGCGGGACTGTCCCTACTAAAGTGTGTCCACGTCATGTATAAACAACCACCTGAAAATCAGTCTGTTGGTCGAAATTCAATTATTCTAATGGTGACGATAGTAGGAATAGCAACGACTTGGAAATATGACAAGCACACTGTCAATGTTAGTAACAAGAAATTAAATTCTGGTAATCTTATATTAAA